ATATAAATACACCCTGTTTATATTAAAATGATAAGCAAATATACTTAAAGTTGGAAAACATGACCACAGAAAACATTTTTCCCCCTCTATTTTTGAAAACACTGATAAAATTTTATTTTCACTAAACTTTTGCCCATGGCCAAAAGAACCTTTTCCACACTGAAACACTTTCATATTGCTTTCATGTGGCCTGAATAGATCCTGTTATAAATATTATTTTGGTTATAAAAATATGAAAGTACATATTTTATGAGCATATAACACTGCAATAGTATCTGTTGATATTGTAATCCTATTTTTTAAAAGATTTACTAGTATTTCAGTGCTTTATCTTGCAAAATAACTAGTTGTTAAGATAGCAAAATAAAATGGAAAGAGGAGGCAAGAAGATATGGATTTGACTTTTGCATTAACTAGCTGTATAACTAGGAACAAGTCCTTTAATCACCTTGAACTTCAGTTACTTTATATTTAGAGAGAATGATAATCCCTATTCCTAAGGTAGTTATGAAGTGTACAAAATTAACACATATTAAAATCCTCGTGGGGCTGGGTTTGTGGCTCAGCAGTAGAGTGCTTTCATGCAGGGCCCTGGGTTTGATCTTCAGTATCACATAAAAATAAATAAATAAAATAAAGGTATTGTGTCCAACTACAACTAAAAAATATATTTTAAAAAAATCCTCATAGAGAAGATTTTCAATATTCTCTCTCCATCCCTCTAACTTCCACAAATTTAGCTAACTCAGTTAAAGGCAATTTATTTATGTTTGAACATCCATTCACAATTTTGAAAACTACATATAAACCATACTAAGAAGAGTTTTACTCTTCCTATTTTTAAAAAGCAAGTTTGCTCTTCATATAGATTTACAATGTTTACATTCTTTCTGTGCATCTTTTGGCTTGTTTTATAGTTTTGGAAGGCATTAGCAGCACTATGGTTTTTAGATAACAAGTTCATCATAGATAAGATTATTTAAAATATTTAAATTCTAAATAATAAATTATAACACTTTTGTATCAATTAATATTTTCTTCTCCTTGGGTTTCTTGTGAATGATTCCCTTTTAATTCCTGTGATTAGATTGTAATTAAATTATTCTTGCTATGTAAATTATAGACAAATCTCTGATTATAGCAGATACTTTGGTGTCCTGAATCCCATCCCCATGGCTTTCTCTAATTTTAGCCATAATCTCAGATTCATGCAGTGTTGCACTTCAAGCTATGTTCCCACTTCTGCTTTCTGCCTTCCAAGCCATGAAAGTCACTGGAACCTACTTGGCCTCTGTACACTGTAGGCCTGAAAGCCTAGAGGGAAACCCTTCTTGACCAAATGAAAATGGGAACCATTTGATAAGTACCCCAAATTTTATCCTTCCAGAAGTTCATTTTGTACCCTATTCAGAGATCCTGATGGAGTCAAGCCCCAATTGTGTACAGCAGTGGTTCACTCAATTCACTCTCATATTGGGTTGTCCTTCTTTTCTGCCTCATTCTTTTTGCTCCCTCACTCCTGCTTTCTGGGGCCATCTCCGAAATAAAGTACCCACATCCAAGTCCTTGTCTCAGGCTTTGCTTTTCAATGAATCCAGTCAAAGACCCTGACCTTGCAGCTTCCTCTTAAATTTTTTTTTTTCTAAAAATTGTTTTAATTGATTTTTAAAAAATAAATGACAGAGGAATGCATTACAATTCTTATTACACATATACAGCACAATTTTTCATATCTCTGGTTGTATATAAAGTATGTTCACACCAATTCATGTCTTCATACATGTACTTTGGATAAGGATAATGACTCCCTTTTCCCTCCAGGATGAAGGCCAAATTCTTTAGCAAGATTGCCAAGAACTTTGCTCAAGAAACTAACCTAGGCTTGATCTCCTACTCATTATCACATAGACCTCCTAAACTCTAGCAATACTGCACAACTTGTTCCTGTTGACTATACTATGTTCTCAAATACCTTTGTGTCCTGATACATGCTTTTCTTACACCAGCATACTCTTTCCTCCCTCATTTGTCTTTCTATCCTCAGTTCACTAGTACTACTACAACATCAGCCAAATCAGGCATTCCTATGTACATGCCATACTCCCATAATATTACCATTCTGTTTAACCATACTTACAGCTTCTGATGTCAGAAATGGCAAAAATTGGTGTATACTTAGCATCATCAACTAGAAAGAAGCTCCATACGAGGAAAAAGAGAATTGGGTCAATGACCTGGAGTCAGGTTGCCAAATTTATCAAGTAAATATAGTTAAATGTAAAATTCAGATATTCATAAAAATAACACTTTAACGTGTTATTATTATTAATACAGTCATTATAATATGATATCAGATTTTTCAAGTTTTCCAGGAATAACCTTCTGGTGTATTCAAAACTAGGATGGGGTTATGGAGACTGGACTTCTGTTTTGAGATCCCTTATAGCCATCACCTTTCAATTGAGTTTCATTGTTCTTGAAATGAATTATACACATAATTTTTACAAGGCATGATGAGCTTCCACGTGAGTTAAACCATACTTCAGGGAAACAGATTTAGAGCTGAACTAAGAGAGCCTAAGCATTATACTTTTTAATTTATTAGTATCTTCTGATGAGTACCAAAACCACATAAAAAGAGTCTTTCAAATAGTAAGAACAATAAAAGTAATGACTTTATTTAATTCTAAAGTTTAAGTTTTTCTTTAATCTATTATCAAATATTTGATTGGTTGTTATCCATGTTAGTGTATAAAATTCAAACCACAAATGAAAAAAATATTTCTTAGCAATTGGGTTGAACTCTTCATTCCCTAGAAAATTCAACATATTTGAGGGGGGCATAATTTTAAAAATTTTATTAGAATCTGAAAAAATCTCAAAAAATAATTCCCCAAATTTTGTCTATTTGGATTTGATCATGCTCCCTATTGTACTCTGATTCCTTTGTTAACAAGAAGACTTGGGATATTGCATCAGTTAAATCATAAAAGTGAATCTTGGAATCAAAGAGTAATATTTCAAATCCATCATTAGTGCTTCAAATAACAAAAGCTGACATTTTGTGCTCATTTGCAGTCAGCAGGAATTTGGCAGGAAGATATCAAGTAGAGGGTTTCAGAAAATTTTCACAGAAATAATGGAGTGTCTATCTGGTACTTTTACCCTGGTGATGAGCAAACTTTTGTAACCAGTGTGAATAACAAGATTAAAGCCAATAGGTGCCTAATCAGATTGCTCTTCTGCACCTAGAAAAATTAGTTACCCAGGACTGTTCTCTATTCAATAAAGGGGATAGAAAAATCTGTGGCATTCACTCAGGTTTCATTATTGCATTTTTCCACACTTAATTTCCTGTGCTGGATACCTTGGCAAATGAGTGGCGCATTCCTCACTACACAAAACCCCCTTCACATATTTGATATTCTCTCTAGAACATGAACAGGAGAGACATAACAAGAGCACAGCAGTCAAATCCATTTTTTCTTTTGATTATCTATATATGAAAAATAATTAACTAGAGATAAAATGTTATTTTAAGCTTTTTGTGTGCAACAAATATTGAGTTTATATTAGAAGACAAGCACTTTTTTTAAGTTATTAGGATATAGCTGTAAGAAAAACAGGGGCTCTTTTTCTAGTTAGGTACTAATGGGGAGAAACACAACTAAGAAACAATGTGCCAGGCTGTGAGAAATGCTGTAAAGAAACATGATAAAGAGCAAGGTGGAGAGGGGATAGTAGAAAATTACCAGGGTACAGTCAGCATGGTCTCTCATGAGTTGTCACATGAGATAATCTTGTAGTTCTTGGAGGAAAGAGTATTTCAGGTAAAGGAGCTAGCCACATATAAAGGTCTCATGATAGGAATGGACTCAGTTTTTGAAAATTGGCATGTGGCTAGAGGGGTTATGAGGGGTGGTGTAGAGAGACATAGGAGATTAGGTCAAAGAGGAAGTGGGTGGTCAGATTACAGAAAAATTTGTAGGGGCAGAGAGAAACAAATTTTGGTGATTTGAAAGGATTTCTTTGTCTACTGTGTGGAAAATAGATTTTAAAGAGACAAATGAGAATGCTATGAGATACTAATCCAGAGCCACAAGATTGTGGTTTGGATCAAGGTGACAAATGAGAGGAAAGAGGAATCAGAATGATGTCAAGGTTTCTGGGGTATATAAATGGTAAAATACAGTTGTGATATACTGAGATAGGGAAGTCCAGAGAACAAATTTGGAAAGAATAATAAGAGCTGGTTTTCATGCATACTTATTTTGAGTTGTCTGTTAGATATGCATGAGGTAATGTCAAATTGACAGTTGATATATTCACCTAGTAATTGGAAGAACTGTTAAGGCCAGGGGGTGCATATGAGATTAAGAAGTATGTGCATTCAAGGACTTAGGCGCTTTGCTTGGGTCTTCAAATGTCCAATGAGTAACTAACAGAAGGGTAAAAATCTTGCCATCTCTGCCTCGATTTTGCATTTGTCTCCTTTGATCTGAGTTACCTTGAATTCCAGGAACAACAGGTCTGGTTGATAAACATATTGTGATGAATTGAAACTAACACCCAAATTGTGATGTACACAACTTTTTATTGACAAGGCTCTGTTTGACCATTCTAAGATAATGATCAACCAGAATGCAACTTAACCAAGACTACTCAACAATACATATTTCTGAGTTCATCTTATCTGTATAATCCAGAAGCTCATATCAGTATCCCCCCAAACAGGGATGAGATGGTTCATCTCATTCTTCTTCCCAATATGGCCACATTGTTTGACACTCCTTTCTTGCTTTTCACGATGACTTTTTCTGTTTGGTTTTTGTGGCAAGTGGCCAGAACTGATTTATTGACACCCCCAGAGTCAAACTTCCTGCCTAAGACTCTGTCAACTTATGAAGAGTATTAAGACACATGTGCATGGGTGAGATCTCCTAGAGAATATGTTTAGATAAAGAAGAGCTCTGACAAACGAGCCTCCAAGAATCCAACATTTATTCCCATGATATCTAGCTCTGGACTCTCTGATCATCCCTGAGGACATAGTGTCCCATAGGACCTTTGACAACTGGGGGTCTGAGGGACCCTGGTTAAAATAATAATAATAAAAATAATAAAAAAATTTGTAATCACAGAAACACAAATTAGAACAATGAGAAAAAGTTCATACCCTTCATATTGGCAATTTTTTTTAAAAAAAGGACAATATAAATTGTCAAGGATGTAGAGCAAGAAAAACTTGGATAGAGGTATAAATTGATATAATCAAATTGAAAAGCTAATTAGCAATAATTGGTAAAGTTGAACTTTAGAGATTGGAGAGATGAAAAGAAAATAGGTCGAAGGACCAAGAAAGAATGGACAACCAAGTGAGAGGAGACTTTTGAAATCCAGTTGGAAAATATATTTCATGAAAGAAGAAATGACCAATTGTATCAGATGTGACTGAGAAATGAAATAAAAAGTAAGTAAAAATTCCAATTAGATTTTACAACTTTATGGTCATAGGTGACCTTACCAAGGGTGATTTCTATGGATTGGCAGGGGTGGCAGTGTGGGTAAATTTTCAAAGCTGACAATCTTAAAACAAAACAAAACAAAAACTCCAGTTTCTGTAATATAAACACTCCCATTATGTATGATTTCAACCTGCCAACCGATATGACATTATTGAATATGGAATTGGAAAATAATAAACACTCTATAAAATACACAATTGGATCTTGCAGGTAGGAGAAGACCAGATTGGCACACTTGTTATAGTATATATAAAAATTAAAAATAGACTTCTATTAAAAATGTACATGCAGCAAAATAAAATTTATTAATTTTGAGATATCTTAGACATATAAAGTCTACTTGACAAGTTTATATTCTCAGAGTTAATTATAAGGTTTTCACAATTGCGAAAACCATAAATGGGTATAAAATTTGGTAGAGCACTTTACTAACTAGCACTACTAAATGTTTTTAAATATTTTCATGGTTTAAAAAGAGAAAAATAAATTAATCTCAATATTTAACCTCAAACATATATAATTTGATATATATATTTATTTATTGGTATTTGTGCACTGTACGGGATTGTTAGGCTCTTTTCTTGTCCTGACTATGTTTTAGAGCTAAGAGAGAATGCACACTGAATTGGGCAATGGATGTATTTTGGAATGAAAATCCTCAATTTACACTTTCATTGATAAATAACTTCTAAGATTTTACTGGCAACATGTATTTGTTATAGAAAAAGTTAATAATATAAATAAGCAAAATATAATGTAATTATATAAATAATAAAATATTAGAAGCCTGAATATATATATGAAAAGCCAGATTGTTATAAAACTAGAAATCAATAAGATAAAGAAATCAATAAGATAAAAGTTAAAGTCACTAGAAAGGTGAGCAAACAGGAATTTCATAGTGAAGGAAGATGTTCAATTTAATTTGTAATTACAGAAACACAAATTAGAACAATGAGAAAAAGTTTCATACCCTTCATATTGGCAATTTCTTTTAAAAAAGGACAATATAAATTGTAGAGGATGTAGAGCAAAAAAAACTTGGATAGAGGTATAAATTGATATAACTAAACTGAAAAGCTAATTAGCAATAATTGGTAAAGTTGAACAGACACAAAACTTATAATCTAGCAGACAGCATTCTCCCAAGAAATGCCTGCACATGTACACTACTAAACTGAATCAGAATATCTAAAAGGTATTGTTTGTAATATCAAAAAGTGAAGAAAAAATATAGATTAAAAAATTGAGGTAGGCTCATATGATGGAATATTATTTGCACTGAAAATAAACTACTGCTTGTATGTCAACTTAGATGAGTCTAAAAATATAATATTAAGTGAAAAAAGTATGAATCATAATATATAGTATGATTCATATATAATATATATAGTATGAATGAAATATATTAATATGAATGAATATATATATTTGATATATACAATATGAATATGTATAGTATAATTATATATGTATATATGTATATATAGTATAATTATATATCTATAATGAATATGTATAATAAGATGAATATAGTATGCTTTATCCTTTAAAAAAGCTTTTAAAAACAGGCAAATAAACAATATACATATATTGGTAGTTAAAAATATGAAGAAGTAGAAGGAGTCAATAAACACAAAATTAAGGATAGGAATTATTTCTAGATGGTGACAGGAGAATGTGAGTTGGAGAAGGGGACAGAGTAAATTCCTAATTCATGGTTAATATTCTATGTCCTAACCCTTGTTAATATAAACATGGGTGTCAGTGTTGCAATTTTTAGAACGAACATCTGGAGGAAGAAGAAACAGCTGACAGACTTACTGAAGAGTATCAGCAATTTAGACAGCCTAGATCTGAGTTATATTGATAAGAACGAATTTGAGAGGAAAGAAAAGAATGCAAAAGGCAATATAAAATTTGAAGCATTCAAACATGTTTGTGCCTGAACAATAGATGTAAGGAAAAGGAGGCAATCTAAATTGTCTCCAAGCTGTGAAGACCAGTGATGTTGAAAGATAGCAGTGTTAGAAAGGAAATGACTTTAAAGTAGGAAGAATTAGGATTTACCTGATTTGGGAACAAGGCCAGAGGTAGGAATTAACATTTGAGAGTGGTTTGATTATCATGGCAATTGATTATATGACAGTGGATATGTATTTCCAGATAAAGTGTAAAATAACTGCATAGAAAATTAGGCTTAGAGAGGAATTTCCTTACAGAAGGAGGAAGTTAAATAAAGGAAGTCGTCTTCCTCCAATTTATTCTTTACATTGATGCCAAAGTAATATTTCTAAACCACAAAAATTGATCATGTCACCTTCACTGGCCAAAACTCTTTTTAGCTTCAGGATGATTTCCAAATTCTATAGCCTGCCATAAAATGCTATTTATGTTCTGATAGTATCTCCAGCCAGCTGCATCTCCTGTGACTACCACCCAGTCAGCCTGCCAATCACACTGGTGTACCTGCCACCTTCGGCACGACCTTGTGACTATTTTCCCTTCTTCAGGAGTAAAGGATGCTCATCACACCAGACCACCATCTCCTCTTCGAAGCCTTCTTTTCTCCCTTAAGTTGATTGAAGGCCCTTCTTTCTCACCTCACAACTATCTTTCCACAGCAATTATCACACCCTCTTATAACTATTTCATCTTTGTCTACTGCTTGAAGACTTTAATTTCTAAAGTGGCACTAGTTGTAAGTGCACTAGGTAGGTCTTTAGGAAGTGTTTGTTAAATAAAAGAATGGATAATCTGATAGGTTAATAATAAATGAAATACAGCCAAATAAGGTGTCAGAAAAATATCAGGAGAGATTTGAAAAGAGGACTGTATGGTCCATCACATCAGTTTACAGCCAGGCCTAAGGGAACTGGCGAAGGAGGAAGTGCTTGATTTAACTGAGAAGCAGTTGGAGGAGCAGTCCCCAGTGGACTTTGGCCGGTTGTCGCCATCATTGACAAACCCCTGTACTTCCCATCAGCTCTCACCAGCAAGTTTCCAGCAGCAAAGCCCACCACCTGCCCAGGAGCCTGCAATCCTTGGCCTCCAGCTCCGGAAGTACTGCCTGGCGCTCCGGAAGCATTTCTAAGGCCGTGAGGGCCCTTCACTTGGGTCCTGCAGGCCTGCCCAATCCAGCTGCTTCAACCGCGTAAGTTTGGGTTTTGTGAAGGGCTGAGCAAGGGATGTGAGAACTGGGGCATCCTTCTGCATTTTTCAAGACACTTTGGAGTGTAGCTTATACAAAGCTACACTTTGGAGCCAGCAACCATAGCCTTTGGGATGGGTATGTGATGCCAACCAGGGCAATTGTTTCTGGCCGTGTCTTCACCCTCCTGTGAATCTGAACTTTGTACTGTAATAAAAGAGCATTTGGTTAATCTGGAAACAAACCAACAAAGACTTCCAGGCCAGTAGAGAGGAGCTCTGCAGCCAGTGGCTTGGCTGGAAGCCCCAGGATGGCTGAATGGTGCGTACCACCTGAGCACTGAAGGATTAGTAGAACATGGAGACATCCTGTGATCAATTTTAGTTAAGAATTCCAGTGACTAGAAGAGAAATCATGGAAATACTTTGGGAAGATGGTATACACAGGCACATTGGGGAAGAACCAGAGGAGGGCGCTACAATAAGAAGGAGCCACTAAAGAGCCAAAGGGCTGAAAAGTGGTCTTGGGTCACTCACCCTGGTAGGCAGAGATTCTGGAAGGAAGAATGAGATGATGCTTGTATAAAGATATTTAGAATTAAGTGGAAAGGAAGAAGATGGAAGACTTCAAAAGGTGGGAGGTAGGATTCTCTGCAGATTGGTAAGGGCCATTTGGAAACACTTGCCTTAGTTAAACAGGAAAGCAGGAAAGAATTTCACTGAAGAGGGAGGATCTGGGAAATGTATCGCAGATTTACTATTGTCTGGGTGTTTCTACAGTACCACAGCTTTAAGGCTGGAAAGCAAATAAAAAGGTAGTGCTTACACCTGACAAAGATAAATTTCTCAGCTTTCCATTTACTCCCATTTCCAAACATCCGAATAACCTGGTATAGTTTCTGTATCCCCAGCCTTGGTTTGTAGATGGTAGTCATCACTTAATACAGGCATCTCCTCATTAGTCTGTTCTTCCTGGCTGTAACAAAATATTGGAAGAGTATTTTAGAACTAAAGAAGTTTATTTGGCGGATGGTTTTGGAGGTGCAAGGTCTAGGGGCCTCTTCTGGTGATATCCCTGCTGGCAGGGTTCTGAGGTGGCACAGGGCATACATGACAAGAGATAGGGAGTGTGAATGTATCTTTGTGTCGATCTGTGTGATCTTCCCTCCTTCTATAAAGCCACTGGGATTCAATTGTGGAGGCTCTTCTCTACTGACCTTATCAAATCTTAATCACTTTCCATAGGCTCTGCCTCTAAAACATCATAGTCAGATTAAAGTTTCTGTTCTCTTAGTATCTCAAAATGGCTATTAAGTTTCAATACATGAAACCTTGGGGGACACTCAAACTATATCCAAACCATAGCACCTTCTTTTGTTTAACATTTAAAATCTTACTGTGCATTCTTTGATGCAAAC